TAGTATTCGTAGTCGTAGCGTAGTCGTATTAATGTAAAAAAAAAAATGTTAAAAAAAAAAAAAAGAGTAGGTTTATTAGTAGTATAGTAGTAGTAGTAGTTAGTCGTCGTCGTCGTCCGTCGTCGTCGTCGGTCGTCGTCGTCGTCGTGTCGTCGTCGTCGTCGTCGTAGTCTTAGTCGTGTTGTAAAGTTGTAGTTGTAGGCCGTAGTCGTTAGTCGTCGTCTCGTCGTCGTCGTCGTCGTCTTCGTCGTCGTCGTCGTCTTCGTCGTCGTCGTCCGTCGTCGTCGTCGTCGTCGTCGTCGTCGTCGTCGTCGTCCCAGTCGTCGTCGTCCGTCGTCGTCGTCGTCGTAGTAGTAGTAGTAGTAGTAGTAGTAGTAGTAGTCTTAGTCGTAGTCGTAGTCGTAGTCGTAGTCGTAGTCGTAGTCGTAGTCGTAGTCGTAGTCGTAGTCGTAGTCGTAGTCGTAGTCGTAGTCGTAGTCGTAGTCGAAGTCGTAGTCGTAGTCGTAGTCGTAGTCGTAGTCGTAGTCGTAGTCGTAGTCGTAGTCGTAGTCGTAGTCGTAGGCGTAGTCGTAGTCGTAGTCGTAGTCGTAGTCGTAGTCGTAGTCGTAGTCGTAGTCGAAGTCGTAGTCGTAGTCGTAGTCGTAGTCGTAGTCGTAGTCGTAGTCGTAGTCGTAGTCGTAGTAGTAGTAGTAGTAGTAGTAGTAGTAGTAGTAGTAGTAGTAGTAGTAGTAGTAGTAGTAGTAGTAGTAGTAGTAGTAGTAGTAGGGTTCTCTGGGTTTTTGTCCCGCTTAAAGAGTTCGCAAGGACACGTGTATGCGTGCGTTGTTTTTCTTTCAGGCTTCCCATCCCGCCTCACGGTAGCGACCCGACCCCATGTCGACGGCGCGTCGTCGTCGCCGTCGTGGTCTCCCCTTTGCGGCCTCGAGCGCGCAGGAGGCCGAAGCCGTGCATGCGTACGCGCGTCCTGCCTCGCAGTGGCGACGCGGCCCCCTCCGTGCACGCAGCGTGCGTGTTTACCTGCCTCACAGTCGCGATGCGGCCCCCTCCTTGCGCGTGCTGTGCACAGGGTGCGGCCCCGTTGTCCACACGTCGTGCACCAGGGGCCGTCGTCATGACCTGACAGCGAAGACTGGTAGGTTTCTATTGGTGCTCCCAGATATGCTCCTACACATCGCTGTCAGGTTGCTTCGCCGGGATAATGTATTTTATTGAACCGCTTCGCTCATTCCGCCGGCCCACTTCGCATGACTGAGCCTCTTGGGACCGCTGGGGGGCCTCTTCAGCGTCACTTGGGGGCATCCTGAGGGCCTCTTGGGGGGTTTTTGGGGCCTCTCAGGGGCCTCTTGGAGCCTCCTGGGGGCTTCTTGAGGAGGGTTGGAAGTTTTGCTTTGTGTTTCCCCTTTGGGGCATCGCTTGGGGCCCTCTCGGGCCCCTGTTGGGCCGTTTTGGATGCCTCTGGGGCCGTCTTGGAGCACTCTTGGGTCATCTTGGGGCCTTTTTGGAAGCTTCTTGGGCTCTCTTGGGGCGATCTTGGGGGCCTCTTGGGCCGTCTTGGGGCGCCGGGAAGCCGAAAAAATGGACACGCCAAAGTTCTCCCCCAAAACCTAAGAGTAATGAATTTTGCCTCTTGGGGCCCTCCTTGGGGAGTGCTCTTGGAGGCCTCTTTGGGTGTCTGGGTGCCATCTTGGGCGACTTGGAACGATCGTGTGGCACCTCGGAGCACTCTTGAACAATCTTGGAGGGCTCTTGGCGGCCTCGTGGCCCTTCTTAGGGGCTCTCTGGAGGGCCACGGGGGCGGCGCCCAGGAGGAAAACCATCTCTGACCCGAGTCTGCCGGGGATCGCCCGGGGTACTTTTCGTCCGGGGACCCCCAGGAACCGCCCCGCGCGCGCGAAGTAGAAGTACTATTTAGCCGTTACCAGAGATCTTAGCACGCCTCTTGCCCATTGGGCCGGCGAGTGGCAGCATGGGTATGGCCGCTCTGGTGGGGGGCTGGCGGCTCGTGCGTGGCACTGCCCTGGTAAGGGGCTTCGTCCGTTGAGAGCCGCCGATTGACGTCGTCGTCGTCGTCGTCGTCGTCGTCGTCGTCGTCGTCGTCGTCGTCGTCGTCGTGGTGTCGGCGTCGGCGTCGCCATCGCGATGCGGCCTCCTGCGCAGAAAAGGCTGTCACAGAGCGTGCGTGCGCAGGTCCTGCCTCGCAGTGGTGGTGCGGTCCCCTGCCTGCGCGCGCTGTCTACAAAAATGTTGCTAGCCTGTGTTTAGGCGGCCTCGTATGCCCACCTGTTTCGTGCCAGGCTGCGCACCTACTGGTTGGTCGGAATCTGGGCAGTGCTGTGAGCGCTCTGCGGAGGGGCTGTCGACCAGTGCCTGGCTTAGAACGGGTTGGGGGCGTCGTCTGATAGAACGTCGAAGGAGCGTATCATGTGTATGTATATTTGCCTTGTTCATGCTCGTATGTCTTGGCTGCTCTGTGCTCTCCGTGGGGTCCCGAAGCGAAGCAGACGTGCTGAGGGGGAGGCGGACGCGGGGGTTCCACGCAAAGTGTCGTTTAGCGGGTACTTCCGAAAGTGGTGGCACGAGTTTCCGCGCCGTGGGGCTTCCGAAGGTAATCGTGCTACACCGACGCGGGGTGGTGCCGTCGCGCCGTGTGCCGCCGTGATAAGGCGACCACCTGTCCTCGTCAGCGTCGCCGGTGCCGGTGCGTGCCTTCTTTGTCCTGCTTCTCTGTGGTGATGCTGTTCCCTCGCGCGCGCCACTGACCTTCCTCACGGTGGTGATGCGGCCCCCGCTGCTCTTGTGGTCGTGGGGGGCCCCGTGTGTGTCCCAGTTTGCGCGGGCGGTGCGGCGCCCTTTGTCCGCTCTTTGTCTCCCGGCTAGTTGTGCGAGGGGTGGGGGGTGGAGGTCAGTAGCGATAGCAAATCTGTTTGTCTCGACCTGCCAGGACTTGCTCCGATGACTCGCTCCTGGACTGGCCGGTTGCATGCGACGCCGCGCCCGCTGTCCGCCGCGACGCCGTGCAGCTTCGTGTGCGGGGAGGGGTGTCGACGATGATTGTGAGGATGACCTTGTTTGCCACGGCGCGCCATGACTTGCCCCGGAGATGACGCCTTTGCTTGCCACGACTCGCCCAGACGATGATGCCCTCGGGCCGCCCCCACGAGGGGAGCGACAGACCTCTTCCAGACGGGAGGCGGCCCGCGCGGGCGCGCCTGCCGCTCCCCCCCCCCCCCCCCGCGGAGAGGTAGGTCGCCCGCGCTGCGGAGGCTGAGGGCCCGGGCGCGCGCCTGGTGCGCGCGGCCGGCCCGACGCTGTCGCAGCGTATGAACTGAAAGGGAAGAAACAAAAAGTGTATGTCTCGGGGTTCGGGTTTGGGGGCTCGCGGGGGAACATAAAACATATAAGCGGTATATACACCAGACATTATATACACCAGACATCAGACATCCACAACGACACTGAGGCGAAGTGCTGCCCAGTCGGATTCCACTAGAAGTGAAGCGCCCCCCAGCCGCCAGAGCATTCCTTCATATTCCGAAACGCTCCCCCATGTGGTCCCGCTAGACCTGGACCCCACCGCGCCCAAAAACCAGTCGCGGGGACGCATTCTATCCCTGCCACTACGAGCCCAATCGCACATGTGGCGGTGTTTGGTGCTCCTCGTTTGACTGCTGGGGGACCTTCAAACTTTTGTTGATTTTGTCAGACAGCGTGGATCTGGCACCAGGAGAATCGGCAGACGTCGTTCAGCTAGCGTGCTAGTCAGAGACAAGATGGCGCCCCTCACCCTCGAGCGGGCAGTGGCTGCGGTTATAGCACACATTGCGTTACCAAGGAGGATGGGCTTCATCCGGCGGCGCTAAATCTCTGTGGGGCACTCGATGCCTGCAGGCCGACCTGAGCAGATTGCGGTACAAATTTGGGCTCAGTGCGCGCAGTGCTCATGTCGTTACGTAGTAGCTACTGCTGGTGCTGCCAACGAGGCTCTCGCAGCTAATGTGGGTCAAAGAGCTTTGGAAGCGGTGCTGGCGCCGGACCGTCTTGATGGGCCGTGCCTCCTTGTGCGATCCCCCCCAACGGTAGATCGAAAACCCGTGGCGTAGATGCCGGTCTTCAGACAGCTGGGTCACTCGGCGGCCTCCTGCGGGCATTGCTTGCAAGTGACCGCGGACAGGTGCCTTGCTGACAGGCCCAAGGCCACATGGAGAGTTCCAGCCCCCGTGCCGCGTTTCCAAAAGGCCGCCTTTTCATCTGCGTTCCGATATGTCAGTGGTGGGTTGTGTGTGCAGCGTGGCTTGTTGGGCGTCGTCTGCGTGGCGGCTGGAGACGCGGCAGCACCTGGCAAGCGAAAGCGCGCCTGAACAAAAACTAGCGCGCTGCACTTCTATCCGCCCATCAGTGCTTGCATGTGCGCCATCGGGGGGCGGGGGGCAGGCTGGTGCCGTTGACCGCTCCTGGAGGGGGTTGGCGATTTTCCTACGTGAAGACGTGTTCGCGTTGAAACTCCGCCAGCGGGGCTCTTTTGCGACGTTGAAGGGTTTTACTGTTGGACTATCGCTCTCATTTTTTTTTTTTTTTTCTTCTTCTTCCCCTCGACAATGAGGAGTCTGAACGTTGGACATTTGCCACCTGGACCTTCTACCGACATTGAGGTGTTGGCTGGTGGTTTGGCTGGCGTGGCCGATGGAGCACCGCTGTGGTCAAGACCGACCCCCTTGCGACCCACCAGTGCCCGTTGTGCTGCGTCCCTCTTCTCTGTGTACTGTGATTGCTTGCAAGGCTTGTTGTGCGGTTTGTTAACTTTAGGACAGTGCCACCCATTATTGTGGGTCAGTCCGTGCGCCGTCTGGCATAGCAGCGGCCCTTCGCTTGTGACTCGCCCATGGTCGCCACGTGCTTGCCGTGTGTCCCCCCCCCCCGCCCCCCCCCCAGCAGCCGACTGTCTGTCGGGGACCTCTCGGCTGGCCCGGGAGGCGGTGGGCTTGGGGCAGTGCCTCCAGAGCTTCGTATCCCCCCCCGCTTCGCGTTTCCGCCACCCCCCGCGGGCCCTGGGCGTGCCATGTGGGTGCTGTGCCTGTTGGGCGGTGCTGGTGCTGTGTGGCGCTGTTGTGCCGGTGCTTCGGGTGCTGCGTCGTGCCGTGCAGTGGTGTGTTGCGCGGTGCTGTTGCTCCCCGCGGGCCCCCCTCTCCGTCGCCCTTTCGTTTAGAGAAGGGAAAAAAGGGGTGCGGTGCAAAAGGGCATGGTTCAATGGGGTGGTCTGGTGATACTTTCGTTGATATGGTTCGATTTGGAGCGAATGCATCATATGAAGATGTGCCTAAGTACGTTCGTGGTTGCCGTTGCTGTCGCCTTGTAGTTCTGGCGCGCCCAAGCGGTTGCGGAAAATCTGTCATTGATGCGATGCCTCTTTGTTTGCTCGGCTGTTCGGTTTTCCCTATGTTTGTACGCGCCCGGCGTGCAGCGTTGCCGCGTTGCTGTCGACAACATGGTCCGCTAGAGCAAAAATTTGAAAAAAACTCGGATCCTTCTCTCCCTGGTTTTGGCCTGTCCTCCTGTGCGCCCCGCCGCTTCCCATCCCCACCCAACGTATGAGTTTATCCGCTGTCGTTTCGCTTTTCTTGCGGATATGAGGTCGTCGCACGTTCGGCGCTGCGCAGTTGGCAGCGATATTCCGTTGAATTCTGGCTGCAGTCGTCGGCGACGTCTTCTTGTCAATAGCTGCCGCAGTGAAATTGCACGGTGGCTGTCGTTTCGGCGGTTGCGCACGGGTGATAACATGCTTTGTCGTTCCTGCGATTGCTATCCTCAGTGGCCTACGACCCCCTGCGCGCAGTACTCGGTCCCGTCGAATTTTCTCTCGCTCGTGACCCCTCCCCCGCCGCGCACACACGAACGCATTCCGAATGCAGCGCTTGGTGGCCTGATTGGGGGCTCCGTCGAAGGCCTCAGTGGTGGATTTCGCGCGCGGCTCATTACAACGCTTCGTGGTCAGCGGCAGACCTCGCATGCGCCCCCCTCGCCCAGTGCATCGCTTCGAAGCCCAAAACGAAGCGCCACGTGAGGTCCCGCAGCGGCGGGAACCGCATGCGTTTCCCCCACTCAGTGCAGCGCTTGGTGCATTACAGGCTCCACCGAAGGCCCCGGCGAGGGAATTCGAATGCGTGTCCCGCGCCCACCACGGCGGTTCGTGGACCCATGGGGGGCCCCATCGATGGCCCCAGTGTTAGAATTCGCTGCGGTCTCTCTCCCACCGCGGTCCCCAGTGGCTGCGCTCGCATTCGTGCATCCAAACACGTGCGGCGCTTCGTGGGTTCATGGGGGCTTCCAGCTTCGATGGTGCTTTTTCGGCGGAGTTGCAGATGTCATATGGTCGGGCTTCTCGCCGGAAAACTTGCTTAGAGCGCAAATTTTGGCGCCGCGAGCGCGTCGTGAAAACCCCCCAAGGTGATCTGGATAGGCTCCTTCCCACTTCTCCGGCGGTTCCTTGGCTGGGCTTCTCTGGGACATACAGGCTGGTAGCGCGGTGGCCACCTCATCTGGCGACTCTGAGGTCCCAGGGGTCTGGCTTTCAAAATTCTGAATTTCGAAGTTGTCGCATTGAAATCTCGGAAATTTAGAAATTTAGTTCTTCAAATTTCGGGGTTTCCGGATTTGCTCCTCCCCCCCCCCTCATGCCCCCCCTCCCCCCCCCCTCTGTAAAATTTTGGAATTTCTGGAATGTTGTTTTTGCCAGTGAAAAACCAGGCATTTTGAAATTTCAGAAGTTCCGGAAGTTCGTTTTTCAAATTTCGAAATTTCCAGAATTTCGTTTTTCAAATTCCGGAAATTCCGGAATTTCGTTTTACCAATTTCGGGAACTCCGAACTTTCGTTTTCGATAGTTCGGGTTCTAGTACGCGAAAGCATGATATATTCATGCGCAGTTGCGTGCGATCGCAGTGTAGGCAGCTGCGAGAGGATGGGGGCGCAGGGAAAACCGCGGTGGCGGAGGAGGCAGATAATGAAAGTGCGTCTGGCGCCGAATTGAAGTCGCCGCGGGCCCAGTTTTGACTTCCAAGGCCTTTTTCGGCGGACGTTTGAGCAATGCGCAGAATCCTATGTTTGCCCACGCCCTGTCCCCAATGCCCGCCTGGCCCATTCGCGCCCGCATGATGCGGGCCACTTTGCGGCAACGCCGCAATTCACGTGTTCTTTTGCGCCTGGCTGGGCCGACCTGGGGAAACATCGATGCGACCGTTCGCGCTTCTTTGTGTAACTTCGCCGAAACAGGCCGACCAGTGACGCGTGATATTCCGTGCGCTGCGCTCCTTGGGTCAGTGGCCGACTGAGTGAAACTTTCAGTCGTGGGTCATGCAAGTCGGGGAGGGGCTGCGTGTGAGGTCTTTGCTTGTCGCCAGGCTGCTATCTAAAAGGGTGCATGTTGATGCGCTTCATTACTAGCCCTACAAGGCCATGCGTGCTTGTGCGCGTTCAAACGAATCCAACGATGGGGGGCGGACTCTCAGCGTCCGTTTCGCCTCCCGTGACAGAGTCGCGTGGTTCAGGCTTGCGGGTGCGCCCATGCGCGTGGCGTGGCCAGGGGAAGGCACCTAGGAACTAATGTTTCCTCTGGGAAGCGGTGGGGCAATCACGCGGGGAGCGGCGTAGCAGGAAAGATCGGTAGAAGAGGATCTTTCGCATCTTGACGAGTCGGGGGGTGTTCACATTCGCAAAGCTTCTGGGACACCGAGCGTTTCCCGCGATCCGACGGCGGGCTTGCGCGGAACACCTTCTCAACGCGATGATTGCGTCAATCATGCCAATGTTTATGATTCACGCTTATGTGACACGCTTGAGGTCCGCATCCGTTTTTGCATTGCCATCCGATCGTTCGTATACCCCCTGCGTTCGTCCCCACCTTGCCGTGGCCCACTTGGAGCAGCGGTGCCAGCGTTGCTCTGGATTCGGCCGCGTGTGTCGCAGATGGCAACGCAGTGAAGTCGCCCATAAAATTTTTTCTATGGGCATGCAGGGTCCACACCGCGCCCCTTTACACCGCGCCCCTTTCCATCTTCCAGATTTCGACGCCCCGCGGCCCCTCGGCTCGGGGCGTCGTCCTCCCTGACCTCTGTCAGCTCGCGCGGGCCTCGCTGCCCCGCTCGCTGCCCCGCTCGCAATGGGGAAGAGGCCGCCGCCGGCGCTCCTCGACCCGGCCGCGGGGCTGTCATCGGCGCCGCCGCTCCCCCACTTCGCCGAGCTCGGCCTCCAAGATCGCGCCGCCGCGTCGATCTTGACGGCTTGGGCCGGCGTCGCCGCCAGTCGGCAGCCGCTCCGAGCGAGGAGTCGTCGTTGGCTCCGACGGAGGTTGCGCCCGACAGCACGGGCCCCGCCCCGCATTCCCCGCCGCCGGGTTGCCTCGGCCCGCCGCCAGGAGACCTTGGCGTCCCCGTGGCTTCGATTGGCGCGCCCTACTGGGCGGCTACGCCTTGATGCCGAAGTCCGCCTCGGCCGCAGGCTGGCCGCCCGCGCCGCCCGGCCACTTCCGCGTCGGGCTACCTGCGCCCGCGCCGGCCGCTCAGCCCCCGGGGCTCGCTGCCGCCCCGCCGCGGCGCTCTGTCATCCCGGAACAGCTGTGGAGCCCGGGCTCGCCGGGATGAGCCCAGCCCAGCGGCCAGCTGCACTTCATACAGATGGACGCGAATGATCGCCGGCGGGGCCACCCAGCAGCGACACGGGCGGCGCTGACCGCCCCCAGCGCGCCCGCTGCAGCCGCGGCGGGCGCCGCAGATGGGCCGACCGCGCCCTGGGTCAAGGCGCCCTGCCCAGTTCCTCTTCGCAGCCCGCTGCGAGCGCCCTGGAAGACCCCGCCAGCGAGCTGGCAGCATTACGGCAAGAGCTTGAGCAGCGCCGTGCTGCCCGCGCAGGTCGGGGAGAGCTGGTCGGCGCGGGGGGCGGGGAAGCGCGGTTGCACCGCGTTTCCGGCGGCGTGCGTCGTGCGTCGAGAGCTTGCCCAGTACGCGGCGTGTGCCGCGCGGCTTCAGGAGCGCGTCCGTGCGCGCGAGTAGGAGCGTTTCCGCGCATGCGCGGCTGTGGCTACAGTAGTGCGGAGCGTCTGTGGGCCCCTGCCGCCATCCCAACCCGCGCCGCTCGCGCCGCCCCGGCGCGCGCTTCCGCCCGCCTTGTCGCCGCTGCTCCCGGTGCGCGCGCCGAAATTGTCTAGCACCGCTCTCTCGCCCCCTTCGGCGGCCCCCCCGGGCCCCCCAGTGCGCCGCCGTTGCTCGGCCCCTCTGACTCTGCCGCGGCGGCGCCTGGCCCGCGCCAGTTCGCCGCCCTCGGGGGCGAGGCTGAGCTCCGCGAGGGTGTCTCCGGCTGGCCGCGCAAACTTCGCGAGTCTTTCGGGCCAGAGCCCGGGGCGGCTGCGCCAGCGCGAAGATCACTGTGCATTTCGCGCCCCGCTGCTACTCGGAGGTTGACCTCCACGACGCTGTCGCGGCGACGGGGGCGACGATTTTGGCCGGCATGCGCCGCGGCGGAGCAGGGGGACCGGTGACCGCAGTGCCCCCTTTCGCCGTTGGGACCGGTGAATCTCCACAGCCTGGATTAGATATTTGGTTTTATCCGTCCAGCTGCAGAATGATTCACGAAGCATGGTCGACTTGTCATGCGCGCCACTCGCCATGCCCTTGAAGAGCATATTGAGGAGCTCTTGCTTTTCTTCGGCCTCGTCGCGGAAATCGAGGGCCCCGAGCCGAAGGTCTCGGCGCAGGGGCCCCTTTCGGCGCCAGTGCAGCGCTTCAGTGCGCGCGAGTTGCTTCGCCGGCCCCCGCCGGGCGATGGCAATTAGCGCGGTGCCCTCGCAGGCTCCGGAGCAGGGCGCGCCCGCGCCCCGCTGCGCCACTTGCGCTCCCGCACCCGCGCTAGCTTCCCGGAGGGCGCGGGCTCGCTCCCGCGGGGGCGGGCGCCCCCTCCCACTTGTCTTGGAATTTCCTCGTTTTCGCATTTCTCTGCTCGGCCGCCACCCACTGCGGCCAACGCCCAAAGCAGTGTTGCGGTCCGGCCCCGGATTCTCTATGAACCCCAATGGTTGTAATGGGCGGTGTCGAGTGAAAAAGCTGCAGATGCATAGCGGCGTCGATCGTGCTCATCGTTGTTACGCGTCGCACCTGATCGTGGGTGTCTTTTTTGCTTGGGGGGAGGGGCCTATCGTGCAGGCGCGTCTCGCTTCCTCCTAATTGGGGGGGCGTTCCATGCCTGGGCCGGGGCGCGTCGCCCCTTAATGGATACTGGCTGGTCGTAAGGCTTGTCCCAGGTCCCCCCCTCCAGCGGCCCCCGAAGGCTTCCCGTTGCTCGCGGTGCCGATCCGTCCGCTCCGCGGTGTCTTCCGCCGCCTGCCTCCTTGGCCGGTCCCCCCCCCCGCCGCGATCCGTTGCCCTCCGTGCCGTCCGCGCAGCGTCGCGCCGCTCGGTGGCCGTGCCGCGCCGACGCGCTGCGCGCGCAACGTGGCGATGCCTGCGCGGCGGTGACTGGGTCCAGGGAGCGCGCAGTCCAGGGGGCGCTGGGTGCGCTGAGTCGCCCGTCCTGGCCGTGTCTGCCGCGGGCGCCCTCGCGGGCGCCAGAAACTGGCCCCGGTTTTTGGGTCCCGGGCCCTCTCTGGGGGGGTAGTTTTTTTTTTCGGGGGGTATTTTCCCTTTGTTTTGCCTCCTTCTTCTCCTTCGCCCTCCCCCTCGCGCCGGCCGCGCCCCCCTCTCCGCAGCCGTTGCCGGGGCTCCCCGGCCTCGCCATGCATAGCCCGCCAGAGGCCGCCCGCGTAAGGGCGGAGGCACGTTCGCCGGGGGCGGCGGCGGCGCCTCCTGGACTCCGCTGCGCGACTTAGTGAACCGATGGATCGGCGTCGAAACCAGGTGCCTGGAGAGAGGAGCGGTGGCGTTCTGTGACGTGCTCTCCTTGCTTGTTGGTGCCCCCGAGCCGCCGCCGCAGCTTCGCGCGCAGGGGTTCCCCGAGTGGCTGCGCGCATACCTTCACAGGGATGCTCGCCGCAGCCGCCGCCACCACATCAATGAATGTGCTGGACCTGTGCGTGGCCACGTGTGGGCGGCTACGGAACGCGCAGCCCATGCCGTGCGACCCAGTCAGGAACGTCCGCGCCTCCTTGTCAATTCGTTCCTCATACCGTTGGTTGCTTCCGCCCAAACTACCAAAGTCAAGGTTGTCACCGCCCAGCACAAGCACGCCCCAGCCAACGTACTCTGATCTTTCTGTCGAAGAGCATGCTCCTCGCCTGCGCGTTCCTGTCGAGCTGCCGCCTCGCGCCCAATAAGGGGTCGCTTTCGCGCCTGCGCCTTGGAGGCCCCTGGAGTGCCGAAGCGCGTCGGCCCGTCGCGCGTGCTCCTCCGCATCGATGTCCATGGCGCCGGCTGGGGGCGCCGGCAGCGCCGTCGCGCTCACCGAGGTCCTCGGCATAGCCTGGGGAGGCCTGCCCCGCGGCCGCCCTTTTCGGAGAGCGTCTCCAGGCGCCGCGGTGCCAACCGGGCCCGGGGGGGCCTCCGGCGCCCGCGGGCGGCGCCGGCAGCGGCCTCGCGCCCGCCGGGGGCCAGGCCTTCTCCGTCGTGGGCTGCGGCCACCTTCTTCCTGCCAGCAGTCGTCGTGGCCAAGTGCCGCTTCGCCTCGCCCTTCTGCGGATGAGTTTCGGGGAAGGGCTCCGCATGCACGGCTGGGGCCCATGCCGCTGGGAAGGGCTGCGCATGCACGCCTGGGGCCCACAGGAATCGGAAGGGAGTCAGCAAGGTGTTCCCAGGATGGCCCACGTGGGCCCAAGATTAGCTTCAAGCGGTAGAGCCTGATTATGCTCCGGAGACGGCCCCAGTGTATAACGCATGCACCCTAGCATCAGCATCATCAGAGCGGCTTGCTGCCCTGCCCCCTTGGCTTCCAGCGGGGTTGACAATTGATTTTTGCAGCATGGTCCACCGTGGAAGTCTCCTCCTCTTCCTCCTCCTCCTCCTCCTCCTCCTCTCCCTCCTCTTCCTCTTCCTTCTTCCCCTACTCTTCCTCCTCCTTCTTCCCCAGCCCCTCCTCCTCCTCTTCCTCCTCCTCTCCCTCCTCTTCCTCCTCCTCTCCCTCCTCCTCTTCCTCCTCCTCCTTCTTGCCCAGCCCCTCGCAGGATCAAACCTGCGACCAGGTGGCCACACCGCGCTGCCCAGGGCAAATTAGGGTGAAGTCGGGCCCGTCCCTCTACAGGGGAATATTCAAAAATTGTCTAACAATAGTCTGGGGACAATTTTTGGACCACTTTGGATAATTTTTCAATATTGTTTTACTATTCTTTATTTTTCGTCCAAAATCGGCCTGTAGGGGGACGGGCCCGACTTAAAATTAGAGTCCCGTGCGGGACTGCCCGCAGTTGGCAATCCACCTCCGCGACTTTGTCGCATTCAACGCCCACGCACCCATGAACGCTTAAGTCGGGCCTGTCCCCCTACAGGGGTATTTTTGACGAAAAATAATACATACCCTAAAAATAGGCCGCAATGGTCAAACAATTGTCAAACAATTGTCCCCAGACTATTGTTGGACTATGTTTGGATTATTTTCGGGGAATGTTTTATTTTTCGTCGAACATCCCCCTGTAGGGGGACAGGCCCGACTTAAGCTTACTTCTGGTTTCATTGCTGTACCAGGCTCGTCGTAGCTGTTGGGTGCGAACCGACAGACAGAAAACACGCCCAGTTGACAGGGGGGATTCTGGATGAGAAGCATGATGAAGGGGAGGAGGAGGAGAAGGAGGAGGACGTGGAAGAACAGAATGGGGAGGCTGCCGAAAAATGGAAGACATCATCTTTACGGCACGAACGCCGTGGTGTCTGTGCAGTCGTAGAAGACTGTTGCGTGGACATTCGGGTTCCGCGCGGAGCCCTGCGAAGACAGTCGAGCTGCAGAAGGTTGCGGCAAAAAGCAGATGTGCTGATACAACATCATTACTGTGCATCCACTTGTTTCTTTCTTCTTTCACCCTTAGCAATAGCAGTCCGTGTGCGCGTACTAGCGTACACACGCCCAAGTGATGACCAATGCCGTCTTATGCGGCAATCAGACGGTGTGGAGAAGTCGACATGGCTTTGACACGTACCATGCCATGGACTCACAGCTAGTAGTAAGCGTACTGGTTGCAGCGCGTGTCGGGAATGTCTTGGACATGGTTTTGATCACGAGCATTGCCTGAGCTGCGTTGAGTTGGTAATGCAGCTTGTCAGGGGCACGCACCAGCGGTTGTGTGAGGGGGGGTCCAAGTTTTGTTACCGCTCATGGCCCTCCTCCGCTCCCTCTTCCCTCTCTCTGTCTCCTGTCTCCTGTCTCCTGTCTCCTGTCTCCCTCCTTGCCTCCTGTCTCCCTCCTGTCTCCCTCCCGTCGCCCTGCCGTCCCTGACTCCTGCGTCCCTCCGTTTCCCTCCTGTCTCCCTCATCCCTGCTCCGCCTATCCTCTGACTCTTCCTCCTCCAAACTCCCCTCCTCCTTCCAACCTCCTCTTCCCTAAAACCTGAAGCCTCTAAGCCCTAAGCCCCCCCTCCTAAAACCCTACCAGAACATCTAAACCCTAAAGCCTCGAAACCCTAAACCCTCCTCATCCTCTCCCTCAGATTCCCCTCCTCCTCTCGACCCCCTCTTCCTCCCCTCGCTGCCCCTGCCTCCGCCTCCGTCCTCTGTCTCCCTCTGCCTCTGCCTGTGCCTCCGTGCCTCTCGCTCTCTCCGCCTGTCTATCTGTCTGCCTGATCCCTCGCCCACTCCCTCTCTCTCTCTCTCCCCTCTCTCTCTCCCTCCCTCTCCCTTCTCTCCCCCCTCTCTCTCTCCCTCCCTCCCTCCCTCTCCCTCTCTCCCCTCTCTCCCCTCCCTTTCCCTTTCCCTTCCCCTCTCTCTGTCCCTCTCTCTCTCTCTCTCTTTCTCTTTTCACCCCCGCCCTGTACACAGGAAGGTTCAGTCGCTTCAGCGGCTCTCCGTCCCTCTTCTGCAGGTTTGCGCCGATCCTGCTCCCTCTACACCTCCTCCTTCTCTGAGCAGGCCGACCTCCTACACCGGCCTCCAGGCAAGCCTTGAACTCAGGTAAAAGGTGGCGCACCCAAATGCTCCCAACCGCCCGAGTAGTAAAAACAAGGGGTCGGCGGATGTGGCGGTGGAGGAGGAGTGGGAGTGCGAGAGATGCGGCGAGGCCGCTCCTCGTCACGATCTTCTCCGAGAGGGCCTGGCCAGAGAGGCCCCCAGAGTCAGGAACGGCGCTCTCGCCCGAGACTTTCTCGCAATTCAATGAAGCTGCTGGGGGCCCTATTGCAACAAGAAGGGCTCCCGCTTCACGCGTCCTCACGATTTATTCAGAGCCATCCTGGCCAGAGAGGCCACGGGCCAGGGCTGGTTCAAATTCTGTGGGTGCCCGTGGCGATGCACGTGATGCGGCGAGCCCGCTTCGTGGAG